CAGCTCAGCAGTAACGCTGCCATTACGTTAGGGGTTTATTCTTTTAAGATCCATCTAAGTATTAAATTCTTGTCTCAGTTTCTCCATTCCACTTGACCCAGCTACCTCAGAATAGATGTTTTATGAAACTCAGATGTCCCTCAACAGCTTTTCAAAAGCAGAAACACTGAATGAATGCTGTTGTCTAAAACTTTTCTTTTTTAACTAGGAAGAAAACGACAGAAAAAGAATTCCATGCCCTCTTGATCCAAAACAGTAAGCATGGGTAGATGCTTCTCCTGTTGTCAGAGTTCACACGATAAACGCTGTTACTTACTTTTCTTTCCATTTGGATTTTAGCACTGTATATGAAGACCAACTACAAAAGCATTTAAAAAAATGTAATTCAAGAGAGAAGCCAAAGCCCGTAAGTGCAGTGTAAATTCGGCAGTACTTCCTCTCTGATTTAAGACCCTAAACATTACAGCTCTGCAGGAATTTATTGTGCTGACAGCTGCTGTGAACTGGAGGAGAGCAGTCTTAACAAGCACAACAGGAAGGACAGTATGGAAGCTGAATAAGTACTTGCTGAAATGGAATTCACATTCCAGTCCCCTCATCTTCTATGTCCTCTCTCACTGTAGTTCAGTACAACTTTTCAGTTGTCTTAGTTAAAAATGAAAATGTTGAATTCATTTTTCTCAAAGACATTCCTCTAAGAACAGTCTCTCACAATGCCATTCATTTTAGAGGCTGGGTGAGAGATTGTCCACAGAAACTAAAGTTAGCAGGGAAGCTCTAGGTGTTTTCCTGCCTCTGGCAGTCTGCTGCCCTAGCCAACTGCCTTAGTTGCGCTAGCAGTGAATTAGGGAAAGCTGGGCTGACAGCTGCAGCCAGTGCTGAGGGAAGGAATAGGATGTATGTCTCAACAGCTGTTTCAAGAAAACAAAAGATGGCTTCTTTATTGTGTGCATTTCTGCCTTATCGGTATTGCACCTTTAGTATTACTGGGGAAACCTTAAAATGGTCTCTGGAATCAGCCTAGTAAGCATTGACAGTTTAACACTTATGAACATATTCAGTCTTGTCAAAATGTGTCAGAACAGCCATTTCTGCTGTGGATTCAGGAGCAGACTATGGAGGGGAAAAAAAATCACTTGGAACATTACTTTTGCAGTGGATTCCTACTGCTATGTACCTTATGATAAAAACATTAAAGAGTTTAGCTTTTTGCTTCCTAGTAATTAACAGAATCAGATTTCTTTTCTTTTGATTTTTAAAGGTCTACTTTGTTCAAGATATTAATGCAGGTTTAAAAGATGTAGCAGAAGTACCAGAAAAACAAGTGAGTACATTTATTTTTTCTAAAGCTCAGTCCCTACATCACTTTGCATTTTATCATATGACTAAAGAACTAGCAAAACTAAAAAGGTCTTGTATTTATGGGTGGCACTTTTTTTTTTTTTCCTTAAAAAGGTACCTATCTCTTCTCTATCTAAAGAAGAGCTGGAGAACTTAATTATCAAGTTGAAAAAAGCAACTAATGGTGAGCTTTCTTAATGCTGAAAATAAGAAGTTTAAAATTGGATTAAATGTTTCATTGTTTTTGTTGTTAGATATCTGTGAACATGTGAGACATTTGGCACTAAGCACATCAGAAGTAATTATTATCAAGATGTAGGCAATCCTCCAACAGCTAAATTTTACTCAGAAGAATAAACTAGATTGAGAGAATGATAAAACACTGAACTTTTGTTCATATAGCTATTTTCCCTTCCTTCGTGTTTTTTATTTCCCACTCAAATATCACTGCAGATAACAATACAGTTCTGATTTATGCTCCCAACAGACTTTTTTGTTAGTGCTACAAACTGAGCTCTCGTCTGACTATTGTGACATGTGTGTTACAAAACCAGAAACTCTGGAAACTGGAAATCCATCTCTAAAAGTTTTACATTTACGTGCAGGCCTGGAACTTTGCCTTAAGGAACAAATACTGTCCCATCAGGCTTTACAAGAAGCCTTAAATGACCCAAAGAATGGGGAACCTGCTTTCAAACACTTGAAACAACAGGTATGGCCACTGCTGTACTACTAGCTATAGATGTTTTTAAACATGTGGAATTCTGCTGCTGTAAATTTGAGTCATTGTGCATGTATAATACTAGTCCCTTTGTATGGAGGAAATCTGACATGCTCTATAACTCTGTGCTCTTCAAATATCAGCATATATATAACCTTTGAATGACTGCTTTGTTAAGTGTTAGTAACAAAAGTTTATTAGGATACTGAAATAAATTACAAATTGTGTGGTCTTCTGAATTTTTAGTTATTGTTATATTAACTCATAATAAATCTGAGTTACAAAAGGTAAAATGCTGTATTTGCTAAGAAGTAAAAGGAATTTTTTACTTTTGCTGTAAGAGTTGGTCCTAGATTTCCTGGTTGTATAACAAATACATAAAAAACATTGAAGAGCCTGAGTTTACCTTCTGCCTTTTTAATGTTT